GCTGAATCTGGACGCCAGTTCCGACTTACATACAGATTCAACTTAAGAACAAACCTACAGTCCCTATCTTGTACGTAACCCGGGGACTGCCTGTATCCTGTCTTCTGACAGTGGCCAATGGCAGGTACCCCAGAGAGAATGAACAGAACAGGGAATCATTCAATGATCCATTCTTTGTCATTCATTCCCAGCTTCTGGCAATCAGAGACTTGCCTATCCTGGCTTATAGTTATTGATGGACCTAACCTCCATGAATTTATCTAGTTCTTTTTTTAATCCCATTGTAGTCTTGCCCTTCACAATATCCTCTGGCAAAGAGTTCCACAGGGTGCCTGTGCATTGGATAAAGAAACACTTCCTTTTGTTTGCTTTAAACTGGCTATTTATTAAGTTTATTTGGTGATTTTAGTGTTAGGAGAACAAGTAAACAGCAATTCCTTATCTAGTTTCTCCATGCTAGTCATTTTACAGATCACAACCATAGCTCCCAAGCTGAAACATCCTTGTTTTATTAATCTTCTCTCATACAGGAGCTATTCCATAACCCTAATCATTTTTGTTGTCCATTTCTGAACCTTTTCCAATGCCAAGATCTCTTTTTTGAGATGGGGAGAGCACATATGCACCCAGTATTTAAGATGTGGGCATACTGTGGATTTATATAGAGCCATGGTGTCCAACCCATTAGCCACTAGCTACATGTAGCTATTTGGCCGGTCGAGTGTAGGGAGTTCACTATAGCAGTAGCCACTATAGTGGCCACTGCTTCAGATCTGGTTAGGCACCATGGATATAGAGGCAATACATTCTCTGTCTTATCTCTTTCTTAGGAATTCCCAACATTCCGTTCACTTTTGACTGCCACTGCACATTGAATGGATGTTTTCAAAGAACTATCCACAATGACTCCAACATCTCTCTCGAGTGGTAACAGCTAATTTAGACATTTTATATGTATAGTTTGGATTATGTTTTCCAACGTGCATTACTTTACATTTATCAACATTAAATTTAATCTGCCAATTTGTTGCCCAGTCACCCAGTTTTGAAAGACTTTTTTGCAGCTCTTTGCAGTTTGAGACTTAACTATCTTGAGTAGTTTTCTATCATCTGCAAATTTTGCTGTCTGTTTACCCCTTTCCCCAGATCATTTATGAATATGTTGAATAGGACTGGTTCTAGAACAGACCCCTGGGGAATATCACTATTTAGCTCTCTCCAGTGTGAACACTGATCATTTATATCTACCTTTTGTTTCCCAGCTTTTAATCAGTTATCAATCCATGACAGGACCTTCCTCCTTATCCTATGGCAGCTTGCTTTGCTTACAAGCCTTGCCAAAGGCTTTCTGAAAAATCTAACAATATCCAACTGATCCTCCTTGTCCATATGTTTGTTCACCCTCTCCAAAAATTCTTATAGACTGGTGAGGCAGGATTTCCCTTTACAAAAACAATGTTGACTCGTCCACAATAAATTATGTTCCTCTATGTGTCTGACAATATTCAGATTCAGAAACTGTTCGTTTCTATAGTTTCAACCAGTTTGCTTGGTACTGAAGTCAGGGTTACTGGCCTGACTTCAGAGCAGTAACTGGGGGTATCACCTTTGGAGTCCTTTTTAAAAAGTAGTGTCACCTTAGCTATCTTCCAGTCATTTGGTACAGTTTATTTAAATGGTAGGTTACAGACCACAGTTAGTAGTTCTGCAATTTCACATCTGAGTTCCTTCAGAATTTATGGGTGAATTGCAGCTGGTAGTGATGATTTATTACTGTTTCTCAATTTGTTCCAAACATCCTCTGACACCTCAATCTGGGACAGTTCCTCAGATCTGTCATCTAAAAAGAATGGTTCAGGTTTAGGAATCCCGCTCATACCCTCTGCCATGGAAACTGATACAAATAATTCATGTAGTTTCTCCACAACCATCTTACTGTCCTTGAATGCCCCTTTAGCCTCTCGATCGTCCAATAGCCCCGCTGGCTGTTTAGCAGGCTTCCTGCTTCTGACATTTGAGTGCCAGTCTCAATTTTAGCAATGAAATCCTACTTCTTTCTGGGCTTAATATTTGAAAAAGATTTGGGGTTTATAGTGGATATCAGCTGTACATAAGCTCCCACTCCAACACTGTGATGAAAAGGGCCAATGCAAACCTTGCATAAAGCAACAGCAGACTCCTGAGTAGGAGCCAAGAGATTATTTTCCTTGTGTGTTTGGCAGTGACAGGACGGCAGCTGGAATCCGGTGTTCGGTTTTGGTGCCCCCATTCCAAGAAGAATGTTGATAAATTGGAGAGGATTCAGAAAAGATCCATGAAAATGATTAAAGGATTAGAATAAAGTGGTAGACTCAAGAAGATCAATATATTTACCCAAGATTAAGGAGTGACTTGATTACAGTCTATTAGTACCTACATAGGAAACAAATATTTGGTAATGTGCTCTTCAAAGTAGGCGAGAAAAGGCCAACAGTGCCCAGTGGCTGCAAGCTGAAGCAAGACAAATTAATGCTGGCAATAAGGTGTAAACGTTTAACAATGGGAGTAATTAATCACTGGAACAACTTACCAATGTCATGGTGGATTCTCCACCCGTGATAACTTTTAAATTATGATTGGATGTTTTTCTAGAGGTGCTCTAGGAAATATTTTCAGAGGGTTCTTTGGTTTCTGTTACAAAGTCAGACTACATGACTGCATTGTTCCCTTCTGGCTTTCAAATTTAAACATTTATTTTAATTTACGTCATCATTTTCTCTATACAGCCTCCAGACAAATATTAAAGCAATTCAAATAAGCAGCTTCACACGTGCACATACCTGTTTTGGAATGTATTTTCCATTTTCTCTGAGGACTCTGCTTCGAATTAGGACTTGGCTAAAAAAAGAAATCCATTATTGCAGAACTGTCAAAGATTAACATTAGAAAATAGTAGAAATTAGGGATGAAAGTGAGCTATGGGTAACCAACAAGCTGCGCAGTAAACGAACTGAGAGAGACTGACTTAGGGACATCTACCACACAAACTTAATGACACCTTCCTATTAATGGAAACTAATTTCCAGAGCCAAATTATGAAAAATATTGAAGATCTCATAAATCAGCAGGAGAGAAGATAAAAAGGTCACCTCTTCCTTCTCTTGCCTGACTGGGAAAATGGAAGATTTCCTCAGAGGTGGACAATTTAAATTGCATCAGATGTTGTCTACATAACCTACATTTCATTTCAAAGAGTATGTTTACACAATTTTTATTTTGGGAGAAGGATGCAAATAGTGCTGCACATTTGCATACTTCCTCCTTTTTGGGAGGGGAGGCAGGGGGAAGAGACGCTCTTTCGGTATTTACCTGTGTCTACGTGTGGCCGAATTTTGAAATAAACCCCTATTTTGAAAGACCCTTTATTTCTCCTACAATGAGGTTTACAAAGGTCCTTCGAAATAGGGGTTTATTTCAAAATTCGGCCACACGTAGACACAGGTAAATACCGAAAGAGCGTCTCTTCCCCCTGCCTCCCCTCCCAAAAAGGAGGAAGTATGCAAATGTGCAGCGCTATTTGCATCCTTTTCACAAAATAAAAAGTGTGTGTAGACATATCCTTAGATTCCATGAAATAATGAATTTTTGGGCCTTCTTTGAGCAGAAATATCTGACAGAATAGCAGATGTTTCTAGGCTTAAAGACAATTTTTATATAAGAAAACCAAAAATATGTCTAGTATTAAATAGACCTGATTCACCAAAATCTTTGTTGTCCAAACTGAAATGAGATGCAATAAGGAATACATTTTGCAAAGCTACAGGAGAATCAATGTACTTTTGATACATAATAATAGATTCCTCAGTTAGCTACAGTTTAATTAAAAGGAAGTAGTGATACTGTGCATAAATCAACTGTAAAGATAGAGCTCAACAAAAAAGTAGTTGCAGCTCAAAATAAGATCCAAACAAGACAAAAATCTATGCTATATTTGAGTTTGTCTGTCTGTTCAAGAACTCCTCCTAAACAGTAAGAGCTAGGCTCACCAAATTTGGCATCCAGCTTTGTCTTATCATAACTTAAAAGTGAGGTCAGGATTTGGTTTTGACAGGAAAATGGGATGTGCCTGGAATGGGATTGCTTCTCAGAAAGCCATCTGAAGAGGAGACAGAATCACCAGGCAGGTAAAAGGGGCTAGCTTAGGGCGCACCCTCCCTGTCCAGGACTCCCTGAGCCTTCCACTCCCCGGATGCCCTTCAGGAAGGAAGGGGGGTGGCCCATTGCTGGTTCCCCTTTGTCAGAGAGCGAAGGGAAAGTGCCCAGTTTGCTGCATCCTCACTCTGGCGGGGGAGCGCGCAGGGGGCAGACGAACCTGGACCTGCTCCAGCCATGTGACATACACGGGAGCTGCAGCAGCCGTGGAGAGGTGCTTCTCACATGGCCCCAAGCTGCTGTGGAGCGAGAGAATGGGGTCTGTCCTCTCTCCCCAGAGCATCTTGCTTACTGAACCCCTCATTCCCAGTTCCACCCCAGAGCAATGATTTCAATGAAGCAAATACACTTTCATTTTATTTTCCAAAAAACCCTGAAATTAATTAAGGACCTGAGTAACACTGGGTCAATCTTCCAGTAAATAAACAAAGGACATAACGAACGTATTCTCTTTACACGCATAAAGGAGAGTTCTCCAGCCTGTTTAAAGAACTCTTTCCAACAAAAGCATCTTTCTACCCTTTTACAACAGGATAACTGAGCTTACATAAAAGTCTTTAGCATTTTAAAGACTAACAAGATGGTTAAATAGGTGATGAGCTTTTGTGGGCCAGACCCACTTCCTCAGATCATATTCTGGAAGAGAATTGGCATGACCATATATACCAAAGGAATACAATGAAAAAAGATATCTGCACAGCTCAGGTCTTTGGTCCATCAAATTTAATACCCTGTTTCCAGAGTTGCCAGTAGAAGAAACTTGGGAAAACAATGAATTTTTTCCAGAATGTTCATGAAATGCTTAGATCTATATGATATACCACAAAAAAAAAAATCCATGAGGAAATTAATACTTCTGTGTTCCTAGTAGGATTTGAATAGTGCAGTAAATATGACCCAGGGCCACAGAGTGAATAAAGAAAAGAAATACTGAATAGCTGCTCATTCAGTAACCTCCATCCATCATGATCACAGAATGAGATAGCGGTCCAGTTGAAAAATGTAATCATGTAATTAGAAACTGTATCATATTGCATATACACAGCGAGTCCAAATTAAGCTTGCATAAGCAACTTTAATTCTGGTATTTCATTATTTTTGATTGCTTGACTTCGCAAATATAATGTTCTTTTATCCTAGCTTTATTAGAAAGACCACAGGAAATCTTCAGCACACTTGGTAACTTACCTGTCAGACACTTGCTCTCTAGTAAGCTTTTTGTCACTTTGGAGCAAGATGGACACATAGTGACGAATCATCCCAACAAAGAATGTTATGAAAACAATTGGAAGGACCACCCATAACCGGATATTGGAGTCCAGCAGCAGCTCTGGTTCACTCATCTTTACTGTAGATTCTGGTAAACAAAATGGGTCTGATTATGTGTTATACTCAGATTCCACTTAGCACTTTCGACTCAGAAAGGATAGAGCTTCACTCAGAAAAAATGATGCTTTCTGAACCTCTTCCTGATAGGGTGTGGTGACTAACAGCAGGCACCTCACGATTTTTACAATGTTGTGTATATTTTGCTAGTCCTGACTTAATTCTGTTTGCACATAATAAATGTGACCAAGACGTGATCACTTGCATATAAGCGAGGGACATTAAGTGTAACTGACCAACTGCTTAACTGATACGCCGATGCTTATTGATTAATGGTGTTGGTTGTGCATAGCCAGCACTTGGGGAGGCTTTGCTGCAGCAGGGAAGCCACCTCTCCAGGTGCGGGTCTGGTGGCCCCGCTCCTGGGGAGGTTTTGCTGCAAGCTCTGCAGTATACAGCTTATGTAAGCTTCATACTGTAGTGTGCAGAGTGTAATAAGTAAGGTTTTCAGCAGTTACACATTCCTATTTAACCAACTTTTAACTAGTCTAAGGTATCATTAATTTTTAGTTCTGTGATCCATTCCCTCTTCATCTGTTGGGACAAGGTCTAATAAAGAATTTCCTTGGGTTAGCTACAACACTTTTGAGTTAGGAAATTGCTGTGTATAGTGTTGAGGTAATTCCAGTGATGGTTTAGCATTGGCAGCATAAGACCTCCAGCATATGCTACTCAAACTGAAGCCCCCCATGATCACAGCTCTCCCTCCCATACATTATAGCAATTCCAATTTCTCTTGTTATCCAGGGTTTTTAACGCCAGTGTCCAGGCAATTCAGTAATTTCTTCTCTTCAGATACTTTGGCTCCTTGATTCATTTTGCTTCCCCATCTCAAGTTGGTGCTGAGTGCGTGTCTTCCCTAGTTTTACCTTCTCCCGCCTGCGGTATGTAAGTAGCTGCTACCTTGTACTAATGTGCTACCAGTAGCACTTTCATTTGTACGATCTTAAGGAAATGGTCCTGTGATAAACTGCTATCAGCAGTAGTACAATCCCACAAGGAGCAGTTCCACATAGTTCTGTGTATAGAACTGCTTCCTGTAAGATGTGCTACTAGTGGCAGTTTCTGATTTGCAGGAATAAGGAACTGCTCCTGTAAGAACCTGCTACTGGAAGTAGCACAGTAAACATAAAGGCTACGTCTAGACTGGCATGATTTTCCGCAAATGCTTTTAATGGAAAAGTTTTTCCATTAAAAGCATTTGTGGAAAAGACCATCTAGCTTGGCAGGGACGCTTTTCCGCAAAAGCACTTTTTGCGGAAAAGCATCCGTGGCCAATCTAGATGCGCTTTTGCGCAAGAAACCCCAATCGCCATTTTTGCCATTGGGGCTTTTTTGCGCAAAAGTTTTCAGCTGTCTACACCGGCCCTCTTGCGCAAAAGCATTTCCGGACAAGGGCTTTTGCCCGAACGGGAACGTCAAAGCATTTGCGCAAGAAGCACTGATTTCGGCCAGTAGCGCGTCAGCGCTTTTGCGCAAAATCAAGCGGCCGGTGTAGACAGCTGGCAAGTTTCCCCT